ATTGACACAGAAAATACAACTCTTACCTCAAAGTGAATAAAAGATAATTAATGTCAGAGCTAAATATATGTGGCCATTGCCTGGCAATGTAGATTTGAGTTACTCCAAATATCATGTTCCAATATGGTAGCAGTTTCATGAAGTTTTCAGAAAAACAGAAAATAATAAATCAAGATACTTTAAAAATATATTGGTAGAAACATCAGTGCTGTGGAATTATCCTTCTGTACACAGTGTGAATATATGTCACTATGACTGGTTTAATAAAAAGCTGACTGGCCAATAGCTGAAAAGGTGGGAAAGCCAAACTGAGAATGATTGGAATGAAGGAGGGTAGAGTCAGAGGAGCCAGCTGCTGAGGAAGCAGGACATGTAAAAAATGAGGTTAACAAGCCATGAGCCATGTGGCAAAACATAGATAAGAAATACAGGTTAATTTAAATATGAGTTAGCTAGTAATAAGCCTGAGCTATTGACCAGGCATTTGCAATTAATATGAAGCTTCTGAGTGATTATTTGAGAGCAGCTGTAGGACAGGAAGACTCCGCCTACACATCAGGTTATATTGCTGCTATTATGCTTAGATTCTATCTAATGACTTCTTAGCTTTTGAGTTAGTGGAAGCTAGAGGTCTGTTTATATATTTTGAAAGGACTTACCAAATAGCCACAGGCTTTTAGGTCAAACATAGAGGAGGGTAATAAATTGTTCTTTAGAGAACTAAGAGTATCTAGGATAATTTGGTTCTGACTCTTCACCTTCACTGAAATTATAATAAAATCCATCAGTCTTGTAGAACGTTTAATGTGGGTGCAGATTAAAAAAAATTTTTTATGGGAATGTCAGTTAACAAATCACTATGAAAACAGTGTGGACGTCTCTCAAATAACTGGAAACACAAATATCCTATGATCCAGTTATTCCATACCTTGCAAAATAGTCAAAAGAAATGAAGTTAGCACAAACCATTTGCATTATCATGTTTATTATAGTACTATTCTCATAAGCCAAGTTCTGGAATCAGCTTAGGTGCCTGTCAGCAGATGAGTGGACAAAGAAAGTATGAGATAAATACACAAAGAAGTATCTTCATATAGAAGGACAAATAAGACCCTGTCATGGAAGTAGAGGATACTCTGCTACACAAATAATCCAGACACAGAAAGTCAAGTAGTGACTTTTCTTTTCCTCATATATGGAAACTTAAAAAAAACAAAACAAAACAAAGGACCTTAAAATGTCAGAGGAAATACCAGGGACTGGGATGTGAGTGGGGGTAGAAGACAGAGTGCAGTGGGCAGAGTAGAAAATGTGACTGGTGGTAGGAGACAGAGTACAGAGGGTGGGATAGACATGACCACTGCAAGCTGCATTCATGTATGGAAAAAAACCCCACAGTGAATAAATCAGTGTGCAAACAGTTAAGGTTAAAAGAATTAGAGAAAAGACATGAAAAGGACAGACAGATGGTAAACAAGCACATGAAGAATACTCTACCCCACTAGTCATTAGGGAGCTGTAGACATAAACTGCAGTGAGAGCTTTCTATACACCTAGAATGGCTAACATAAAAATAGTGACAGCAGCAAACAGTGAGCTACGTAGAAAATCTGGATGGTATACTGCTGCAGGTACAGTGGGCCACTCTGTAAAAAGGCTAGATTTTTTAAAAGGACTAAAGGTGTAGAGATCATGCATATGAGTCAGTAATGTACTCCTTGCCATTCATTCCAGAGAAATAAAAACCTTATGTTCATATGAAAACTATATATGAATGTTTACAGCTTCTATACACAATACCACCACCCTACAACCAGAAATGACTCAGATGTCCATCTTTGGGTAAGTAGCTTGAAAAGAATTCTGTTGCAGCACTCTCTATCTCAGTGGTAGAAGTATGGCAACAAACAAACAAAACCATCACCAAAAACTCCAACCATAATCACCACCACCACCACCACCACCACCACCACCACCAACAACAACTAACTCTCAACGACTTGAACTCAACACATCTCTAGTACATGTGTATGTGGAACACTACCCAGCAATGAAAATGAAGGAACTACTGAGGACTATAATAACCTGGATTAATACCACAGAACTGTTCTGAGAGGGAAAAACATCAGTCCCTAAAAGCTGCATATGACACAATTTTATTTATTTAACAGTGTAAAAATGAACCAAACCAAACCAAGCTAGAAATGAAGAACAAGAGATCATGGAGGTAGAAAGAAAAGGGTGTAACTATGAAAGGGACACGAGTGACTCTCATGGTCATTGGAATGTTGTGTCTTGGCCATGCCAATGGTATTATTCTGTTTTTGATACCACGTTATAATTTTGTAGAACATTGTCATTGGAGGAAACTAGGTCAAAGACATATGGAAAACTCACAATTGCCAATAAAGTGGCAATTACTTCATGAGAAAGTGTTGAGTACATCTTTAAGTACTTTACATCATTGTTATAGGTGAAGACAAGTTGCATTCAGTATTCTTACTTTCCAATTTCTGCATTTTAAATTACTTAAGTTAAAATTGTATTACTTCAATTTTTTAAAAAAAGAGTTGAATTTCAAAAAAGTTGTAAACAGTGGAGAAGTTAGAAAATCTTCAACAGAAGAATTCACCAATGTTATCTGTACACTGCACGTGCATATGAAAAAAACAGTGAATAAATCAGTGTGCAAGCAGTTAATAGTTAAAAGAATTGAAGACATGAAGAGGACAGTAAAGCAGAATAGCTCAAGAACAATACAGTAATATAACAGCACAGGCAATTTCATGCTCGCTATACCCGTAAGTCTAAGGTCCAAGATCAAACTACCTTTATCAGTATATCTAAAACATTAAAATATGAAGTTATTTTAGAAAGATTTACATCAAAATATTACAGTTTTCCTGATCTGTAAGAATTCTGACAATTCTCTTTATGACCTTTATAACTGACTCTTGGCTCCTGACATTATCTGCTCAGTTTTAAACCCATACTCATACTCAACCACTTGCCTAGATAGTGTAACAGCTTTCTGCTCTACTTTTGTTTCAAGTCTGGTTTTTGTTTGTTTGTTTGTTTGTTTTGGTTTTCATCTGCTGCTTCTTTCATAGAATGAACTAAGATATATTTTATTTGATCATGGAACACCTCTAATTTTGCTTCTTTATTATAACCTAAAGATAATTTCTTTATAATCTAGCACAGGGCAAATTCTTCAATTTCTTTAGATTGGTATACATATTATTTCATAAATTGTCTCCTGTCATCTGGAACTTACCTACATCTTTCCACGTATACCTACATATATTTTCTGTCACATTTTCTCACATTAAACTTTCCTTGCATTATTCTAGCTACATACAGTAGGATTCTTTTCATGTTCCTTGGCTAACGTGTGGCTAACTATTCTTCCAGGGACTCTTCCTTGTCCTATAGTCTATGAGATGTTCTACTTCTGTTCTACTTCACAGGGGATTTAACCATAGTATTTATTGACTGTCATCTTTCATTACTGCATTATTAACAATTTGAGGGTAAGAATCATGTCTTTTACTTTTTATCTTCTAGAATATGAAATCTTAGAGATTTTAGTCTACAACATTTTAAACAATTAAAGATAACTTCCAAAGATACTAAAATAATGGCAGGTGTTTTTCTTTTATCTGAAGGGAAAATAATAAATACGAAAAAACCTACAATTCTCTGACTTCAACTTGAGTAGACAGCACAAACTACATAAAAGTCTATAATCATCTTTACTGATAGTTGTCGTGTGCCTTGTACAATCTTCAGGAGACAAAAGGTAACAGAAGAGCAGGAACGTACAAACAAAATAAAAATAAACTTCATTAAATAATTTCAACATTGCTGGACAATGAAAAGATTAAATGCAAGAGGAATATAATGGCAGAAAAAAATTACAGGTAAACAATTTTGTATCCCCCAAATGGGATTTGCAGCACATGCCCAATGATGTAGTTAATAAGCTCCAGGGGTTTTCTACTACCATGGATTACAGGAATATTGGTCAGGCTTTTAATAAAAATTAAAAAAAAATTGGATAACCACTTTGCCTTAAAAAGTTTAATAAAAATTTTAATAATCAGGTGCTGGAAAGATGGCTCAGTAACCCACATGGTGGCCCATAACCATCTGTAAGTTCAGTTCCAGGGACTCTGCCAGCTTCTTCTGGTCTTTGTGAGTGCCAAGCACGTATGTGGTGCACTTACATACATTTGGGCAAACACTCATACACATCTAAAATAAAAATAATTATATTTTTAAAAATTTAAGCCAGTGGTAGTGGTGTACACCTTTAATCCCAGCACTCTGGAGGGAGAGGTGGGCAGATCTCAAACTGTGAGTTAGAGGCCAGCCTAGTTTACAGAGTCAGTTCCAGGACAGCCAGGACTACACAGAGAAACCTTATCTTCAAAACACAAAACAAAACAAATTTAATAATTAAAATCCTAAAAGTGATAAGATGGTTAGATATTTTTGATTTTACTTTCTTCTAGTTTATAGTCTCCACAGACAGCTTTTTTGGCAATGACTTATAAAATTTGACTTAAGGCATTCTATCAGTGTTTATCTTTCCCCTCTTTTCATAACTGAATGGAGGAGGGTAGCACATAAAAATTCTATGAATTGAATAGTAAATCAAAATGAATTTATAGTCTATTTGAAGTTAAACAATTGTTGATCTTTTAATTAATCATGATGTGATACAAAACCAAAAGGTGTTACTACATTTCATAGACATTTTAATAAACATCTCTGTCAGTGTAACAAACTGTTCTGTAACAAGAAAAAACCATGAGAGTCACAATCAATAGCTAGAAAACAGACTTGGTCCTGCGGGTAGAATCAGAAGAATCTTATCGTTTGTTCTATAAATAAACCACCACTGTGACTCGAGTCTAGGAAGCACCTCCAAGGAGAGAAACTGAATTTAGAATGACTTTGAATCTCTGTGCTTCTGAATAAATGCAATGACTTACTTTCTTCTCCGGCTTGACTCCATGAAATATTTACGTGCTCGATTCCGACATATCTTTTGTTGCTGTAGTAGAATCTGGCGCTCTTCTTCTAAATTTTTCTCGAGATGGATTTTCATATCTCTAGTGATGCCATTTAGTTAAGGACAACAGTTTACATCTTTACTGAGTAAGTGTCAAGAATGTCTGACACAATTAGAGCCTCATGGTAATGACAGTATAATGCTTTCATGGGACAACTAATATGTGTACATACTAGTGTTAGTATATGACTAGCAAATTATATATATATATATACCCTTAGACTTTTCCTGAGGGGAAAATAAATTACCTTTAGAAATCATGACCTTAGATAACAAAAATGCATGTTTTTATTCATTATCAGATATTTGGATAGTTACTATTAAGGTATCTTCTTGGGCATATATGTAAGGAATGAAAGATTTTAGTAACAGGAAGTAGATGAGTTAAATGCTTCAACAGATCCTTTAGTCTACAATATGAAATTTTAAAAAAATTTCAATGTTTGTGAATAAAGCTTTTCTCCCCAAAGATCCCTGTAGGTGGCTTATGAAAACACACTGTGACAGCCAGGTGGTGGTGGCGCATACCTTTAATCCCAGCACTCAGGATGCAGAGGAAGGCAGATCTCTGTGAGTTCAAGGCTAGCCTGGTCTGCAAAGTGAGTTCCAGGGCTGTTACACCTCTCTGTGTAACCCTGTCTCAAAAAACAAAAACTAAAACAAAAAATAGAAAGAAAAAAACAAGAAAAGACAAGACACTGGGACACATACGTCACCATCTGCTTATAAAATTTTTCTAGAGGAAATTGAGTACTTTGGTGATCCTAATAATTTGAAGTTTACATATAATTAACCATTCCTTAAGCTGCACTCATATGATTAATTGGCTTTCCCAACTTATTTGGATTTGGACTACTGTCAAATTTATCACAATATTTCTGTATTTTTCATGATTTTGAATTTCAATAAATGGTCAACAAATTACCACTTAACTCAGTGGTTCTCAATCTTCCTAATGCTCTGACTCTTTAATACAGTTCCTCATGTTGTGGTGACCCCAACCATAAAATTATTTTGTTGCTACTTCATAACTGTAATTTTGCTACTGTTACGAATTGTAATGTAAATATCTGATAGTCAGGATATCTGATATGCAACCCCTGTGAAAAGGTTGTTCGACACCCCCAAAGAAATTGTGACCTACAGGCTGAGAACCGCTGACTTAGCTAGTTAGCACCCCATGATGAGATCTGGATATACCTGAGATTACAGCAAAGCTACAAATTATATGGCATGACTACCTGTCTAATGAACAGCTGTTTAAAAGCTTTTTCCAAAAAAGTGAGGTTACTGATGGTAATGTAGACTACAATAAATATATATAATAATGTTATGTTATATATGATTTAATTCAAAACGTGTTAATTTCAGGATCTTACAGTGCTTTGGCATCAAGATTATACAGAAACTGTATATTTCCGAGTAATCATATTTATCTGGACTTTTATAATAGGAGCTTACTTGTTTCAATTGTTTTGTCATTTTACCATCTTCCTCCGCAGGCTAGAATTAAGTGTCTTCATTTTAACTAAAATGTTGTCATTAACACAAACTCAAAGACACACATACAATATTTTTAAAGCTGTCTTCTACAGGATTTGTAAAAATGTTATGAAAGGGAAGAGAATTTGGCTTCAAACAGCACAGAAGCAGGTCTAGCTATATCTTTTCTTCTCTGGTTGAGTCCTTTATTAGGATCAGACCTCAGGAAGATGGTTAGCTTTCCAAGTCAGCAGCAGAGGAAAATACAGTTTTCTTCTTTCAAGAGAACACTGCAGTAGGGACAAGGGTAAGTTACTTTGGGCCAGATGAGAGGGATGGGGGAATGATGCATTGGGTAAGGACAATTTTGCTCAATATGTTTGAGATCTTATTCTCAACATTACATTGTGATAGAAAAATTATATATTCCTAAACTTATTCAGATAATTGACTACATGTAAAATTTGGCTCATACATTAGTGTATACACTACACAGAACATACATAATAATAGTTCAGTATGATCTTGCTTACTCTTTCCATCATTTAAAAAATGATATTGAAGTTTGAAGTTTTTAGATAGATGCTTAAATATTTTTTGTAAGCATCATTGTAACAACTACCCCTAAAAATCTACCCCCAAGATGTAATTTTTATATAGTTAATATTAAAAAAAAAACCCCAAAGACTACTATGGGCATTCACCCCCCACCCCATTTAGTTTTTCTCCAATATGTTATCAACACAAGTGACTGTCTGTCATACAATGCGTTTCCTTGCCAGGCATGATCTATTAAAGCTATACCCTCTTCCTACTGCTTCCAAATACTCTGAATTGCTTAGAGCTTGAACTACATCAGTGTTCTTAAAATTCATCTCCTTGTTCATTCTTGCTTGGTTCAATACTCCTATTACATAAATTATAAAAATGACATGTCATTAATGAAAATAATAGAAGATATAGATGCCTTGTCAATGAGCCATTTTCTTGTATCTGATTTAGAGACAAATTAGGGACAATATACTAAGGTTAGTTCAGTGTATAAGAAGATATAGTGGGTTGGGGATTTAGCTCAGTGGTAGAGCGCTTGCCTAGTAAGCTCAAGGTCCTCAGCTCCGGGGGGGGGGGGGGGAATCCAGCTTTTAAGCCAGGCGGTGGTGGCGCACTCCTTTAATCCCAGCACTTGGGAGGCAGAGGCAGGCGGATCTCTGTGAGTTCGAGGCCAGCCTGGTCTCCAAAGCGAGTTCCAGGAAAGGCGCAAAGCTACACAGAGAAACCCTGTCTCGAAAAACAAAAACAAAAAAAGAAAAAGAAAAGAAGATATAGTGTCAGCAGGGTGGTGGCACAACTACTGTGGGATGTTCTGTATGGCAAATGTGTTGTTAATTAGTCAATAAATAAAACACTGATTGGCCGTTGGCTAGGCAGGAAGTGTAGGTGGGACAAGGAGGAGAATAAAGCTGGGAAGTGGAAGGCTGAGTCAGAGAGACACTGCCAGCTGCCACGATGAGAAACAGCATGTGAAGATACCGGTAAGCCACGAGCCACGTGGCAAGGTATAGATTAATAGAAATGGGTTAATTTAAGCTGTAAGAACAGTTAGCAAGAAGCCTGCCACGGCCATACAGTTTGTAAGCAAAATAAGCCTCTGTGTTTACTTGGTTGGGTTTGAAAGGCTGTGGGACTGGCAGGTGAGAGAGATTTGTCCTGACTGTGGGCCAGGCAGGAAAACTCTACCTACACACAACCTTCAAATTCCAGTATTGGGGAGGCAGAGGCAGGCAGATCTCTGTGAGTTCGAGGCCAGCCTGGTCTACCAATGAGTTCCAGGACAGCCAGAGCTACCAGAGCTACACAGAGAAACTCTGTCTCGGAAAAGAAAAAAAAAAAAAAAAAAAAAAAAAAAAGAAAGAAAGAAAGAAGGAAAGAAAGAAAAAGAAATACAATGCCAAGCATGAGGAGTCAAAATCATAAGACAGTAGTATTTACTTCACATCTCTGAGAAGACAGTTTGTGGCAGCATTAAGACAAAGGACAAGATGACCAGAGCTAGCAGCTGCTATTGCAGGCTGTTATACAGGCGGACAAAGGAAAGACCTAGGGAGGAAGCTTGGGGATGCGCCATCTGAGAGGGTTTCGGCATTAATGGAGCCCCAACACCCATCTTCCTTCCCCGGTCGATTTGCGTCCTTAGAACCCAAGGCAAGGTCTGCAGAAGAGGAGACCCTCAGTGAAAACTGATGATTTGCTGTTAAAATTGTAAGAGTATAAAAAACATTCCAGAAGAAGTTGGGACTTAAGGAGCTAAGGAAATGGCGAGAGGGTGGTGGCAGTGGAAGGAACCCAAGTGAAGACATTCCCTGAGGAAAATGGAGATGACCACATACAACATCATCGTAAGTTCGTTGAGAATACAGAGGCTAAATTCAAATTACCATAACGTTCTTTGGAAGAATAAAAATGCTTTACATACTTTAAAAGCAAAGCTTACTGACATTTCCACTATGTTACCAACATCAAATGGGAGCTCAACTATTTCTTCGGGAAAAATCAGAAATAATCCAGATTGTCAAAGTTTGGGTCCTCTGCTTTTCCTTTCCTGTTTAACAACAGAATGAGCAGAGACAGGAACAAAATGAGAACGTGCTTGGGCTCAGCAGCTGTGGGGGTGGGGTGGGGGTGGGGCAAATACTAAAACAGAGCAGCACCAGATTTCACGCTCCGTGCAATTCCTCTAAGAGACTCGACTGAACACCAAGTGTCTATAAAAGTAAAGAGTATTACACTAAAATTCGAAAAGGCCCATCCCATTCAGGGCCGACGCATTTCAAAATTCACAAAAATGTGACAGCCAAGTCCAAGTACGGATGTGGGAGGACCGGGTGGCAGGGAAGAGGTCACCAAGTAGGAGAACACCGTGAAAAACTTTAGGTCGGGGTGGGGTGGGGTGGCAGTTGCTAAAGCGAATATCCGCACTGAAAATGACTTGCCAGTTTCCATGCCCCTGCGTGCGTCACCGGGAGTGAGGCCGGCGGGAAGGATACAGGTAAGCGCCGGGTCGCGGCCGCCCGCCGCCGTCCCGGGCGCCCAGCGAGTCCGAGGGTCCGGCGCCCAGGCCCGCGCCTGCGCTCTGGGCTCCGGGCCTGCCCGCCAGCATCCTTCACCCCAGCGCCGCCCGCATGGCCGCTCGGCCTCCCTCCTCTCCCGGCGCTGCGGGCCGCGTGTCCCGCCCCGCGTCACGGGCGTCGCGGGCTCGGCCGCGGCAGTCGTGGCTCCGCGGCCCCGGCGATTGTGGCGACGGCAGCTGTGAGGGCGGCGACCTCGCGGGGCGACGGCGGAGGTGGCGGCTGCGACCTCGCCGCAGCCATCTTGACAACCAACCGACGCCGCGTCCTTGGCGACGGAAACCAGGCGGAACGCGGGGCGGGGCCGCGGGCTGGGGGCGGGGCCCAAAGCGGGCTGGGTCCGCTGAGGTCCAACCGTGGAGGCAAGCTGAGCAGCAAGACGAGGTAAACTGAGGGAAGCTGAGGTATGTTGAGGTAATCTAAGGTAAACTAAGGTGAGGTGAGGTTAAATTAGGGTGAGCCGAAGCAAGCTGAGGTAGAATTGGAGTGAACTGAGGCAAGTTAAGGCAAGGTTGAGTGGTGTGGTTGAGTTGTGTAGTAGTAGTTTCACCAAGACTTCTTATTAATTATGAAAGCTTGGCTTATAGCTTAGGCTTATTCCCAGCTAGCTCTTATAACTTAAATTAATCCATTTATAGTAATCTACAGTCTATCATGTGGCATTACCTCTCCTCCATCTCCCCGCCCCCCCAGAGCTGAGGACCGAACCCAGGGCTTTCTGCTTCCAAGCACTCTACCACTGTGCTAAATCCCCAAGCCCACCTCTCTTCCGTCTTGCACCTCCTGTTTGTCTTCACGTCTTACGGACCTAGGTTATCTCCTCCTGCTACCTTTCTGCCTGGAAGTCCCATCTACACCTCCTGCCTAGGTACTGGCTGTTGAGCTGTTTATTAAACCAACTACAGCAATATCTGTTCACACAGTGTACAAATGACCCACAACAGAGTTGGGCAGATGGCAGAGCATTTATTTCTGGGAACCGCAGTTGTGAGAGAGTTCAGCTGAACTATGATTCGGGTCTCCCTTTTTATAGTGTTTTCTTGAGAGTATTAACAGATTAAAGACAGGGCATGGAAAATCCCTAGATATGGACAGATATTACTTGGCAGCTTGGAAATAAGTATTGGTTTGTAATTTGTTAGGTATGGAATCCTGTGTCGAAGTTTTAGGTCGTGAGACTTTCCTCGGTATCTCTCTCTTGAAAATCACTATCTCTTTAAAAAAAAAAAAAAGAAAAGAAAAACAGCCTTGTGAAGTGGAAAATTTCTTTCCCTACTTGCTGTCCTCCATGCCTTGATACTTCTGTACCCCCTCTCTACTGCTCTACTTATAACGACTCCACTTCAAAGAATTTTTCTGGTCCTTGGCTGCCAGATTCTGCAAATGGACCATCACGGCAAAAGTGGCCTGAAAAGAAGTCCAGATTTAGCTTATTAATCTCCTGGGAAGATATGCCAGAAGAGATCATCGTATTGAAATGGTTTCTGTATGGGAAATTAAACAGAGTTTTGAGCCACTAGGTTAATGGCTATGTAAGTGAAAATTTGGAACAAGGCTGGGCCTTTTTGTTGGAGCCCAATGTAAAAGCATGAATTTTGATTGGATTTTAGTTAGTTTTAAATTTTTACTTTATATTTTGTGTGTATAAGAACTCCCAGATTGTTTAGCAGAATGTATAGACCAAAGAAAGATCACTCCCCACTATTCAAATATCTTTGCCTTTGGGAACTTCTAACAATTCAAATAACAAACCTTTTCAACTGAAACTATTTAAAACAGATTTTTCCCCCTTCCAAATGGAGATATACTGATTCAAATTGAAATGCGTTCAGGGGACTGAGTTTTAACTGCAAAGTGCTTAAGTTTCCTTCAATATCATGGCAAGATGACAAAACAAAGCATATAACGCTAACAAAGGAAGGAAAATATGAATGCTAGGACAGTTAGCTATGTTGGCAACTTTTTGAATGTCCTAGCCACAAGCATTGGCCCTGATTCTGTTCCCAATGCTATCATTAGCACTCTGTCTCTCCAGGACTAGTTTGAACCTTAGCAAAGTAGGGCACTGCAAAAGGCAAAGAAAAGTGAGAAATTTGTGGTTGCTATTTGCAATATTTGCATTTTAGCTTTCTGAAATGTTTTGCTTAGACTGTATTATTTAGTATGTGGAAAACCCTAGCCACATTACTGTTGTTTTGCTGGTATATTAATTAATACTAAGAAGAATGATTTTGCATCAGCATGATGTCATCCCGGAATCCTGGCACTTGGAAGATGGGGCCAGGAGGATTAGTAATTCAAGATCATCCTTAGCTGCACAGTTAATCTGACGCTAGCCTGGGCTACTTGAGAGCCTATCTAAAAAACCCACAAAGAAAAAAGCCATAATTTGTTTTCTCAATCCTCTACAAGTGCATGCTCATGTAATTATTCTTCACTTAAGTGTTGCTTTGTAAAGGTAATAAAATATAAAAGAAACATTTAACTTGAGGTTATTATCCATTTTTTAAAACTACAGGCTTGTTGATTTCTAATTCTTTTTTTCTTAAAAATATTAAGCTGGTTTTCCTACATCCTATTTAAGAGATTCAGTCCTAGATTCTAAAGAACAAGGAGTTGAGAGGCAATAAAATGAAAGGTGAAATACTTGGATAATAGATAATTTGAGGATTTTTATAAAGTTTACCTTTTGCAAGGAAAGTGATTGTGAGGTCTCAGAATGGTAAAATGCTTGTAAACACAAGGGGCTGTGTTCAGATCCTCAGCACCCACAGACAGAGCCGGGTGTGGTGTTCTGTAGTCCTAGCACTGGGGAAGTAGAGACAGGCAGATCCTTGCTCACCAGCTAGTCGTGCTGAAATGGCAAGCTTCGGTCTCAATTAGGGACCCTTGTCTCAAAAGCTAAGGTGGAGAGTGCTGGAAGACAGCCCATGTCAACCTCTGACTTCCACAAACATTTGTGTGTACCTGTGGGCATGCACACAGATATACACACATAAAGAATAAAACTAAAACACCAATATTTTGTCATAAAAGACATCCTAATCAAATTTAATGCTTAATTATTTTATATTTCCTAACAATACGACTCATTTATTAAGGATGTGCATCTCTCTCTCTCTCTCTCTCTCTCTCTCTCTCTCTCTCTCTCTCTCTCTCTCCCCCTATCCATCTGTCGCTCACATCACATCTGCTACATGCCAACTACTTTCTAGTTGCTGGGGATTTAGTGGTGAATAAACTTGAGAACAGGCCTGGAGAAATGGCTCAGTGGTGGAGCCCACATACTACACTTGTAGGTGAGAGGGCTGGGGAGCCAGAGCAGAGCCATCACAGGTTTCTAACAGCCCTGCAGGGCACCAGGCCTTAGGTTCGTTTTACTGGAACTAGTTGGAGCTGAGCAAGCAGTTCTGGGAAAGACAACTCAGGGGCAACTAATCAGCAGGCACACCACAGCCTCTTGCTAGCTAAAGATAGCTTTCCCTACCCTGTACCTGGAAGGTCCCTAACCACTAGAGCCTCCCACCCATCAGCCCCCAGACTAACCCAGACTAATCTTTCCTCCACCTATCAGCACCAGATTAATCCCTCCTTCCTGGAATTACCCTAACTCCACTGAAAGGGAGCTTGTGACCTCCCATTGGGGGTCACTATTTGCTACCCCAACCTGTTGGAAATAAACACTCTTGCTAAATTTCATGCGTGACTGTTGGTCTTTCTTGGGGGCTTCTCTCAGATCCTAACAGTAGACAACTAGAGTTTAATTCCCAGCATCCACACCTGGTGGTTTACAACTGCCTGTAAGTCCAGTTCAAGGGAGATCTGATGTGTCTGGTCTCTGCAGGCACCCACACAGACATCCACGTAAGTAAAAAAGTAAAAAAATAAAAAAAAACCTTCAAAATATTGTGGTCTGAAGTTTATATTGAATTCTCTTTCCCAGTGGAATATATTAGGTACCAAAAACTACTTTAGAAAAGTGTAGTTGTGTGGAGAGAGAGAGAGAGAGAGAGAGAGAGAGAGAGAGAGAGAGAGAGAATTGTTGCAGATCTCCTTAAGACCGAGTGCTCAAGAACATCCTCTAAAGAAGGGAAACTGGATCTGAATAAAGGAAAGAGATTATGACTCAGATAGCTGGATGCTGAGTGTAAAAAAATACATAGCCCACATTTGGTGGGGTCTTACAAGGTCCTAATGTAAAGTCAACTTTTAGTGGAGAGAAGGGCATTTGGGAGTTAACGTCACCTAACTTAGAAAGGAGCACTGTCGTTGCTATGGGGAAACTACAGAACAGAGGGTAGGACTAGAAACAAGGAGGAGTAGCCTGAAGGTTGTCACAGGGTGTTGAGGGGAGGTTGGCAAGGGACAGGTTTATGATTGCAGTGACAGAGATGACAAGAGCTTAAAATCTGAACCTGTAGCCAGTAAGGTGTGTAGATGGATGGTTGTAGCAAGTGCGAGGAAAAAGTCATATATGACCTTCAGGACATGAGTAATGGCTTAGCAGGTAAAGTCACTGGCTACCACATCTGATGACCTGAATGGAAGGCACATTGTGGCAGGTGAGAACCGGGTCCTGAAACTTGTCTTTTGGCCTCCACAGGTTTGCAAGGGTGCTGTGGGATATCTTTTTTTTTTTTTTTTTTTTTTTTTTGGTTTTTCGAGACAGGGTTTCTCTGTGTAGCTTTGCGCCTTTCCTGGAACTCGCTTTGGAGACCAGGCTGGCCTCGAACTCACAGAGATCCTCCTGGCTCTGCCTCCCGAGTGCTGGGATTAAAGGCGTGTGCCACCACCACCCGGCGGGATATCTTTTTGCATGCCGTGAATATGTGTTGCTATGATTGGTTGATAAATAAAGCTGCATTGGCCTATGGCAAGGCAGCTTAGAGGCAGGTGGGAAATCCAAGGAGAGAGACAGAAGAAGGACGAAGTGAAGAAACACCAGCTGCTGCCGAAGGAGCAGCAAGATGCCAGCGGAATGGTAATGTCATGACCATGTGCCAACTTATAGATGACTAGAAATGGGCTAAGTTATAAGAGTCAGCCAGCAAGAAGCTGAAGCCATAGGCCATACAATTGGTAATTATTATTAAGCCTCTGAGTGATTATTTTATAAGCAGCTGAGGGACTGCAGGGCTGGGTGGTACTGGAGAAACGAGGGCTACACAAGGGCATGTTACATGGGTACATGCACACACTGATGGTGTTGTTAGTTGTTTTTTACTCT